ATTTGTTTGAATAGATAAGTTTAGATTGCAAATTTCAAGGACGAAATTTTTGTAAGGGGGGAAGAGTTGTAACATCCCGAATTCAACCCATTTTTGGGATCAATGAAATAGATATTATTTCTTATTTAATTTTAGTGAGTCTCGCCCGGAACTGATCACTCTCGGGATACTAACCAAAAGGGAATGGCTAACTAGGAAAATGGTGCGTGGACCAGGGACTCGATCGCGAATCGGGCACCGATTCCGAGAAACGACGAGGAAATATTTTGGGCCAATGTGGGCCGATCCTAGGAAGGTGACGGCTTTAGTTTGGCCAACGACGTGCGATCGGATCGCTGGTGATTCCGCACGATCGAGAGTACGCGTGGCGAACAAATCCCGAACTTAATCCAAACGATCGCGACCTCCGGAACTAGCGATAAATCCTCGCGTTTTCCCGATAATCGAGACCGTTACGGCCCGAGTAACCCTAGGTCAATACGCGTAACCCCTAAACAGCCGCCCGTTAGTGAGAGACCCTAAAATTGTAAATGAGCAATTTGGATCGCGAAATTGGATCTGGACTTGGACGTCGAATTTCATGGACGTAAGTGACTATTTTGCGAGGACGACGTCATTTTAGTATGGCCAGCTATATTTGGGATCAGTTCGGTCGAAAAATGGAAATTCGGCCCAGAATCGAAAAAGTACGATTTTGCCCTTATGCCCTAGCCTTGTATTCCGAATTTTGGAGGTTTAATTAGTCATTTTCAGCCCCCAATAATTTAGATAATAATGGTCAAGTGTGCCCCTAGATATTTGTTTAAGGTTTGATCATGGCCATTGAAGTGAAGGGCAAGATAGGCATTATGGAAACTTAGGCCAATAATTCAACTTTCCACTCATTCTCTCTCCCTCATTTCTCCCTCACCATCACCGGCCAACTCCCTCTCCTCTCTCCCCCTCGCCGAATCCTCCTCCTTCCTCTCTCGGCCGCGTGATCAGCCCTCGCTGGAGCCGCTGCCGCTCGTCCGCCCGCCTTGCACCGCCACCAACCGGTCCGCCCATTTTCTCTCTCTCTCTCTCCATTTCTCCCTTCAGCCGTGTGGAGCAACCGCCGATTAGCTCCCTTGGCCATGAACCGCCCGTGCAAGCGCCGACCGTCGGTCCGCTGCTCAAGCCACCGCCCGTCTCGCCTCACCGTCACCACCACCCGACCGTCATGTTTCCTCTCTCGTTCCGTCCCACCATCACCACCGACCAGCATCACCCTCTCCCCTTCGCCGTTTGAGCAGCCCGTCGTCACCGCCGCCGCGGGAGCCGCCGATCGCCGTCGCCGCAAGGTTGCCGTGATCCAGCTCAGCCGGCCCGTTTTCCCCCTTGCTCAGCCTTAATTGGAGCTTATGAGCCTAAGTGAGTAATTACCCTAAACCCTAATTAGGCTAATTAGCATTTCTAGATAGGTTTAGGCTAATTTAGGGGTTAATTAGGGTGATTTAATGGGTAATTAGTGGCTGGATGATATGGCTGTTTTTGTGGTGAGTTTAGTGGTTTAATATACTGATTTGGGAGTGGAATCAATGACCTAGAATGACCGGATAGGTGGCTGTCCATGGTGGACTTAATTGGATTAAGTTTGGTTAATTTTGGGATTGAATTGTGTAATTGCCGAGGATGCCTAGATTGACCGATTGATGGCTGATTTGTCCTTGATCGCGTTAATTTTGTGATGCCATGTCGTATGCCTATCGTGGCCGAGAACGGAGGAATGTGGCGGGTCTCGAGCGTGCGAATCTATATTGTTCTAATCGCGTGAATCATGTGTGTCGACTATGTGTCATGCAAGATTGAATTGAATTGCTTAAATGGACATGCTAGTATGTTGATTGGGCATATTGTGATTAAATGTGAGCATGTCAAATGGTTATTTGAGCACGTCGTGGCATTTGTTGAGCATGTCTTAGCATTGATTGATTATGTGCCTAGGTGAAATTGAATGGTCGTTGTGAATTGCATTGTTGCCCGAGTGCCGGACTGCATGGCCACGCATTTCGTATGTTGAGCATTGGCCTGATACGAGAATTGTGCGAGTATGCGTGCCTGACATGAGCATGTGATCACCTAATTGCCCTTATGCGTCTTATGCGGGGGGTGTGTGTATACGTGTGATCGCCTAAGTCCTGATGCGTTTTACGCGGGACGATGCCCGGATTGCCGGAAGACGGCTAACCTAATGCGTTTTACGCGGATTTTGGTCCATATATGGAGATCGGTGTTGCGCCTGATGCGTTTTACGCGGGCTAGAGACACTGGGCCTGATGCGTTTTACGCGGGCCAGGAAGTATTGGAATTGTTATAGACCTGACGCATTTTACGCGGGTCAGACCTGATGCATTTTACGCGGATCGAACTCTTAATTGGAATTTGGTAATATGCAAGAGTGCATTGGCAGTCGTGTAAGCATGTGCGTATCGGTGACTCGTATGTGATACAGGCATTAACAAGCATGAGCATGTGCATGGAGTACGTGTGACTAAGCCCGTCGCGTATGTGCCATTATTGTGATTAATATATACCTAACATGTAGGGTCAAATGTGTGCTCGATCTGGGCCCGAGGGCCTAGGTCAATTGATTGTCAATTGTTACTGGTTTTATGTGTTTGGTTTGCCTGTTAGGAGGTGCATGTTAGCCTAGTTTAGGTTTAGGGGGTTTTACTCGCTGAGATTTATTCTCACGGTTGTTAAAACCAACTTTTCAGACCCCTGGCCTTGAGGATGTCAGAAGTTCCTATACGTTTTGGGATCCCGTCTCGGATAGACCGGGACGTGACCGAGTACCCCGTAGGGAACGGGGATGCGTATATTAGACACTTTACTATGGTGTGGGTTGACGTGGGTGAGCAGCACTTTCAGGCCCACGAGTATATCGCTTGGTGTTTTAGGGACTATTCCGAGACCTTCGGACCCCTCTGGACTTTTGATGTCCCGTTCAACGGGCTAGGTGACATAGATCTCCAGTGTGCCGACGGAGACTTGGCGAGCCCCGAGTATACGTCCGAGAGGAGTTCTAGTGTTGACGTCGGGCACGGACCTGTTGTCTGGGAGATGGACGAGCCAGACCCGATGGACGAGGAGCCGGTGGATTGGGACTGACCCGGAGCCGATGGAGTCGGATGAGGAGCCAGAGCCTGTGGAGCAGGACCCCGAGCAAGTGGGCGAGCCTGAGGAGATGGATTCTGAGGAGGAGCTGGCAGAGGCCGAGTCCGAGCTGGATTCTCTAGACTCCGAGGTCGAGCTGTCTGACAGTTCTTCCGAGTCATCGGGATCTGACCCGGACTGGATTCCGTAGGGTTCAGCCTTAGTCTTAGTTAGGTTGGGTCGATACCTTTTTGACCCGAGTCCTTCCTTAGTTAGTAGTCTGATCACCCGGGCCACTTACCCCTTATTGTTAGTAGTGGCCGTTGACCCGCTTTGATGTGTTGTATTTTGGTGTAAATAGATAATGTATATGTTTCCCGATGTTAATGCGAATCTATATTTGTAACCCTGTTGTTTGTTGTTTGTACTATCCTTGGTCTCGTATTGTTGATTTGGACGGGTGATTTAATTGTTGCTTCCGAGTGTGCTTTAATCTCTGCGTTGGGTATTGGGTCGGCGACGCGTCCTGGGACGTCGCACAACCAAATTCGACCACGGTTGGGATGCTCGCACACCGTAGGGTTCGGGGCTTGACATTTCAGACCCCCGACCCTGAAGATGGCAGGAGTACCGATTCGTTTTGGGATCCTGTACCGCATAGAGCGATTGGTGATCGAGTACCCCGTTAGGAATGGGGAGACTTATGTTAGACATTTTACTACCGTTTGGGTCGATGTGGGCGAGCCGCAGTTCTAGGCTCATCAGTATCTGGGCTGGTGTTTTCGGGACTCGTTCGGCGTTTACGGACCCCTTAGGACTTTTGATGTGCCGATAGACGGGTTAGGCCATTGGGACCCACAGGCAGCTGATGGGGAGGTGGCCAACCCCGAGGCCGTGTCCGAGGAGGATTCTGATCCTCGATCCGTCATCTTCGAGATGGATTCCGATCCTAAGGAGGAGGAGCCGATGGAGTGGGGGTCCGATCCCGAGCCGAAGCCGATAGAGCTGGAACCGGAGCTGGAGAACGATTCCGAGGAGGAGCAAGTGGAGGCTGAGTCCGAGCCGGATTCTATGGACTCCGAGTCCGAGTCGTCTGACGATTCATCCGAGTCCTCGGGATCCGACCTGGACTGGTTACCCTAAGGTTTGTCCTTGACCATAGTTAGGCAGGGCCAACACTTTTTGATAGGAGCCCTTCTTAGATAGTGCATGACTGCTCGAGCCACATACCCATTTTTTACGTTAGTGGCTGCTGACCCGTTTTGATTTATATGTATAGTTCTGTTGTAATGGATATTGTTAATTCTCCGTATCAATGTAAGTTTGTATTCATGATGTTCGTTGCTATCCTTGGTCATGTTTCATTTATGTACGGGTGTTTGTTTGCTTCCGCATGTGCATTATTCTTTGTTCTGGATTTTGGGTCGGCGACGCGTCCTGGGACGTCGCACTGAATCGGCCGATGGAAGGGGTTGTCGCGTGCCTTAGCGTTCGGGGCGTGACATCCCCCGTTGATTTGGTATCAGAGAAAGGTCAGCTCGATCCAACTCGGTCGAAGTCTGGAGTGATAAGGAGCGATGACCATGGGTAGCTAAATAGGGTGACTTGTGTGCTACGTGTACCTCCAGACTGTTTGAATTCGTGATTGAGTGATTGTTGTGAATGACCCGTAAAGTGCAGGTGCGGCAGGACCCGAGGTAAGTACACATATCTCTTGGTTGAGGCTTCGTGCCGTTGTGATTGACTGCTTGCTATGTGATTTCTATTGTGATTTCTTGCCTAGGACCTTAGACTGGTGTAATTTGGCTTAGGTCTCTAATTCCTGAATGGAATTATAGCAGGTAGGTGAGTGGTGAGGAAAAACTGTAGGGATAAGCAGAGGAATGGGGACAAGAGGTCAGTCAAGTGCCATGGGCCAAGAAGCAAGAGACCCAAGGCTTGATGCAGTTATTCAGACGCTGCAGGAAATAGGGAATTTGATGGGAAGGCAAGCTCAAGAGAGGGCTGCTAATATTGCCCAGGCTGCAGCAGCTGCTGCTGTCAATGGAAATCAAGCCAATCTTGGGCAGGCTCAGGTAGTTGGGAATAGGCAGATGCACCAACTGGTGGAGCAGTTCCTAAAGTTAAAGCCGCCAAAGTTCGACGGAAAGGGTGACCCCGAGGCCGCGCCGCGTTGGGTGGAAGAGTTGGAGAAGGCCTTCGAAGTTCTGGGGTGCACCGAGGCCAAGAAGGTGACCTTGGCCGTGTATCAGTTGCAGGAGAATACTAGTGATTGGTGGAAGGCCACCAGGGGGAGAGTGTTCGCTGAAGGTACCGCCCAGACTTGGGATGTGTTTGCTGAGAATTTTAACGAGAAGTATTTCTCAGTAAGTGCCCGAGAAAGGAAGATGACAGCTTTCTTTAAACTGCGTCAGAACCAAATGACTGTGGATCAGTATGAGGCAGAATTTGCTAGGCTGTCTAAGTTTGCGCCAAGGATGGTAGATCATCCTGAGGATAAGGCGCGAAGGTTTCGGGATGGACTGAGAGCCGACATTCGCAGTCAGTTGATACCAGTGAATTTGAGAACTTATGAGGAATTATATGAGAGGGCTCAGGCTATCGAGCAGGATGCAACAGATAGGGCCGCCGCATCTGGATCGTGGTTCGCCTCGGCTAAGGACAACCGCCGCTTCGGAAAGAAGCCGATGACGGGAAATAGACGTTTTGTCCCTCCCGTAAGGAAAAACATCGGGAAGCCGAACCACCCGCAGAGCAGGTTTGGGGCATGTTTCAAGTGCGGGAGCATGGACCACAAGATAAGGAACTGCCTTCAGCAACGCTCAGCAGGACCGCCGATGCAACCACAGCAGCCCAGGGTCGAGAATCAGACTGGGAATCCCCCACCGGCTATTCAAGGTAGACCGCCAGCGTAAGGAAGGGTGTATGCGATGGCGCGAAGGGAGGCTGAGGACACGCCAGGCATGGTCACAGGTACAGTCTCTCTCTGTGATCATGCTGCATATGCCTTGTTTGATCCGGGGGCTACCCACTCGTTTATATCGGAGCAATTTGTTAGATAGATTGGAATTGAACCAGTGTTGCTTGAGGTTATGTTGTGTGTGACGACCCCGCTGAATGATAAAGTGTTAGTCTCGCTAGGGTGTCCTGACTGTAAAATAGTTATTGGGGGTAGAAAAGAAAGGATAGACTTGGCAGTTTTGGCCATGTATGATTTTGATGTGATTGTCGAGATGGATTGGCTGGTTAAGCAAAAAGCAGTGTTGGATTATAGTATCAGGGTGATCCAATTCAATCCGATTGGACATCCTAAATTTGAGTTTCAGGGAAACTGAGGAGGAACCTCGATCCCTTGGATTTCTTCTCTTGAGATGACCAAGTTGTTGGATGAGGGTTGCGAAGGATATTTGGTGAATGTGGTTGATCTGACAGTTGCAGAGCTGAAGTTGGAAGAGATACCCGTGGTGTGCAATTTTCCTGAAGTCTTTTCTCAGGAATTGCCGGGTTTGCCACCAGAAAGAGAAGTGGAATTCGTAATCGAATTGGCCCTAGGAACTGAGCTGATCTCGAAGGAACCGTACCGGATGTCCCTGTCGGAACTGAAGGAGTTAAAAGTCCAGATGCAAGAATTGTTGGACAAGGGATTTATCCAACCAAGTGCGTCTCCATGGGGAGCGCCGGTGCTATTTGTAAGGAAGAAGGATGGAACATTGAGGTTGTGTATAGACTACCGGCAGCTGAACCAAGTGACTGTCAAGAATAAGTATCGACTGCCGAGAATAGACGACCTGTTTGATCAGTTGTAAGGAGCCTCAGTGTTTTCTAAGATCGATCTACGGACAGGGTATCATCAATTGAGGATCAGGAAAGAGAACATACCTAAGACGGCCTTTAGGATGAGATATGGGCATTATGAGTTCACAGTGATGCCTTTTGGTTTGACTAATGCCCCCGCTACCTTCATGGATTTGATGAATCGGGTATTTAAGGAGTTTTTAGATCGGTTTGTTATAGTCTTCATTGATGACATTTTGGTATACTCGAAGAGCCCGGAAGAGCATGAGGAGCCTTTGAGTGAAGTACTACGAACCTTGAGAGAACACGCACTCTACGCCAAGTTCAGTAAGTGCGAGTTCTGGCTCAACCGAGTGGCATTCCTTGGACATATAATTTCCGGAGAAGGAATCTCTGTGGACCCGACTAAGATTGAGGCAGTGACTAAGTGGCCAATGTCACGCCCCGAACCCCACGACACGTAACATCCCTACCTTGGTCGATTTGCGTGCGACGTCCCAGGAAGCATCGCCGACCCAGGAAGCGTCGCCGACCCAACGCCCAAACGGAAACAAGCACAAGCGGAAGCAACTAAATAAACAAACCCTGACAATATTATTAATACGAGACAATGGATAGCACGGCTACAATCAAACAATTAGCTGAAAATATGTACACTTTATATTACTTATCGAAGCTCTTTTACAGCATTCACATATACACATCATATATATATACAACCCAAAAAGTCAATGAACAGCCACTACTAAACAAAAGGGGTAGGTGGCTAGGGTGAGTCAAACTAAACCTACAAGGAGGACTACAGTTAAAAAGGAACAGTCCTCCCTACCAAACTCTGGCCCCTCCTAAGGCTCCCAGTCAGGGTCTGAGGACTCCGAAGAATCCTCTGAGGATCTCTCGCTTGGCTCGGACTCCTCTGACTCCGTGGCCTGGGCAGCTGCCCATTCATCCTCCGAATCTATTTCCAGCTCCGGATCCAAGTACCATCCTAACTCTTCCTCTGATCCTGGCTCTACATCCGACCCCAACTCAGCAACCTCTCCATCCTCGTCCGGGTCTTGGTCCATAGGCTCCGGATCCTCCTCCTCATCCATCGGCTCGGGGTCCTCATACCATACCCCTGGCTCCTGGTCCATAGCTATAGGCTCGTCTGTAGTCGGGGGATCCACGATCTCGCCATCGGCCATCTGGGGTATCATCACCCCATCTATGCTTACCGGGACGTCAAACGTCCTAAGGGGTCGCCCGATGTTTCCGTCTGCGTCTTTCAAGCACCAGGCCACATACTCTTGAGTTTGGTAAAAGTACTCACCCACGTTCACGAATACCACGGAATGATATCTCACATACGCTTCCCCATTCCCAGCTGGGTACACTCTCGAAGTCGAATGGATCTGCATAGGGATCCCAAAAAGAGGTGACGGCTTCGGCATGCTCAGGGCTGAGGGTTTGAAAAGTTGGGTTATTACAACCGTGAGACGAATCTCAGCGAGTACAACCCCTAAACCTAGGCTAGGCTAACATGCATTCTCCTGACAGGCATATCACAACCAACATAGCAATACAAATCACAATCAGCCTCCGACCTGGGCCCTCGGGCCCCGATCACTTACCTGGCTGCCCCTGCAGGTTAAGCATCTCACTATACTGAACAATTCACATACACGAACACGCTATTCATACGTACGTCATACGCATGGACACACTCAACGGAGTTCGTATCACATGCCATTCACCGAGTCTCGCACACTCGCACACTAATCCATGCATTCTTATGCATGCATATGATATCCTCATGCCTTAATCATGTCTCAGCTCACTAGCCCACACTAGCACACTGGCAAATGCTCAATTTATCAATTAATATGAACCGCGTAAAACGCATTCCGGTCTCTTTCTTAACCACAACACTCCGTGGCCAGCGTAAAAACGCCCCAGGCCCAGTGTCTCCTGCTACAAAGTGCATGAGACGCAACACTGATCTCCTTACGAACCAGAGCCCGCGTAAAACGCATCAGGATGGTCGTCTTCCGGACGTACCGGGCATCGTCCTACTTCAAAGTGCATGAGGACTGCACACCCCGCGTAACACACATCAGGGCGAAATGTGATCACATGCTCATGCCAGGCACGCATTCTCGCACAATCTCGCCACATGCCTCATTCTCGGCATACATAATGCGTGACCATGAAATGCAATACAGTGCAACATGAGCATCACTATAACACAGGCACTTAATCAAATCCAAGCCACCACACAATGCCCAATTTACAAACAGCATGCTCACTTGGCCATTTAATACCGTGCGGCCCAAATACACAATGTATAATTTGGCAGTCAATTCAGCCAATCAATTAGCCAATCACACTTCGCACAATTCAGCCACACGAGTACATGACATGGCAGTACACGATTTATCACAATTGAGCACAATTAATCATAATTCGATCAACAGCCAATCAATTCCCCCTTTGCATATTCTAGTCCCAAAATCCTTCAACGGACAGTCACCAAACCAGCCGCTTCGCTGCCAATATTTGTCCTCAATTAAACCATATTGATCCACCAAATAGTCTCAATGACAACCTCCACCAATCGGTTCCCAAATTTCTCCTAGTACACATCATCAGTACCCAAACCAGTCCAGAAAACGCACTATCAGTCCTAATCCGGATTTAGGAGGTACACTCACTTAATCCAACTTCACGACGACGAGGAACGGCGGCCAATCACCGGTGGACGGTGGAATCGGCGGCGGCGTTCCAACGGACGGCGGCAGCGGCGTACGGACGGCGGTCCATTGGCCGATCCGGACGGCGGCGAAGCTGATGACGGCGAAACGGCGAAGGAAAAGGGGTTCGGTGAGCTTGGGTGGCAGTTTGAGGGCGGCGAGGACGGCGGCGACGGCACCGGCGGTGTACGGCTTTCCGGCGATCCTTTGGCCGAGAGAGAGAAAACGAAGGAGAGAGAGAGGGGACGGGGTGGAGGGGCTGGCGAGGTGAGGCTGAGACGGTGATGGCACGGCGGAAGCGGCGGTTCAGCGTGGCGGCGAACGGCTCCGGCGACAGCGGCCCCGGCGGCTTGGCTCACGAACGGCGGAGGAAGAGGACCGGTGAAGGGGGAGCTGATCTGGAGGGAGCTGGCCGGGAGAAGGAGAGAGAAGATGGAGGGAAAATTGAGGAGAGAGAGAGTCAACTTGGTCAAATATGGGGGGTGAGTAGAAGACACGTGTCGCCTATCCAAGCCTCTTGACCAAAACACCCTTGATCCAACGGCCCTCGTCCATTCTTATCCAATAATTGAGGGGTAAAGTGGTCTTTAGGTCCAATAATTGAGATAAATCCAAAATTAATTAATTCCTTAATTTCTCCAAAATTCGGAATGAATTTTGGCCTAGGGGTAAAATGGTCATTTTTCCGGTCCCGGGTCGAAATTCCATTTTTCGACTGTACTTACTCCAAATATGTATGGCCAACATAATATGGCGTTAGAATCGCAAAAATAGCCACACAAGCCCTCGAAAATCGACACTGAAGTCCGGGTCCAATTTCGTGACCAAAACTCGCTAAATTTTCAATTTCAAGGTCTCTCACTAACGGGCGGCTGTTTAAGGGTTACGCATATCGACCTAGGGTTATCCGAGTCATGACGGTCCCGATTGTCGAGAGAGAGAGAGATTATCGCTAGTCCCAGAGGTCGCGATCATTCGGTTTCAAGTTTCGGACTGGTTGGCCACGTGCACATTCGGACGTGCAGAATCACCTGCGATCCGATCGTACATCATTGGCCTTGGCCAAACCAAATCCATCACTTTTTCCTAAGATCGGCTCACGTCAGTCCAAAATATTCCCTCATCATTTCTCGTGATCGGTGTCTGATTCATGATTTGGGTCCATGGTCCACGTACCGTTTTCCTAGTTAGCCATACCCCATTGGTTAGTATCCCTAGAGTGATTAGCTCTGGACGAGACTTACTAAAATGAAATGCGAAGAAATGGCAATTTTATTGATCCCGGAATTACGTCGAAATTCAGGCTGTTACAGCCAAGGCCGACATCAGTAACAGAAATTCGGAGTTTCTTAGGTTTGGCAGGATATTACAGGCGTTTCGTAGAAGAA